AGGATTGCACAACAGATTCAACAGTGATTTTTGTTGTTGTTCAGTCGCACAGTGATAGGCATCTATTATCAACATAGTCAAATGTAGCAAAGCAAGATTCCAGCCTTCTTCTGTCATGGATGATATATCAACTCAACATTTATGATCTCAGACCACCCATATTAAGCCTTAGAACTTCCAGACTGGAGACGCTCAGATTCTGGTACACCTGGAAACTTCAAATGGTTCAAAACACAGCTGTTCAAGTCCTAGCTAGGTGCCACCACAACGAACATATAAAACCAGTACTTTCCCAACTGTGCTGGCTTGTAGTTTGTTTCTTAGAAAAATATCAATGTTTTGTTTTTGATCTTTAAAGCCTAAACAATCTGGGTCCTTTTCCGCACATATCAATCATTCTAAGCCCTGAGAATGAGAGTGGAAACCACCATCATGAGGTTAACAGAGCCTTTTCAGCAGCAACTCCCCTGCTATGGAATTTCCTCCCTTGGGAGACAAGATTCACAGTACCCCTTCAGGTCTTCTGGAGTACCCTGAAGATACTTTGAATGAGGATTACTGTTTTTCTCCTTCCCTGTCTTATTTGATGGCTGTTTACTGCATTTATTAATACGATTTGGTAGCTGCATTTAAAAAATTCTAAAACAACCAGTTCCTAAAAACATTTTAATATGTGATTTTATTTTATTCCCCCCCGCAAAAAAAATTAATTATTTTCTCAAAAAAAGGTGGGATTAAGAAGGGGAAAGGGGGTGGGGGAAAATATAAATTCATCAGTTTTTCCAAATAATATGAATTGTTATGTACAGTAAGATCAAATATATTACCAAATATATTTCAAATGCAGAAGCAGACATGAAAACATCAATATTACAGATTTTTTAGGATATTCTCTCTTTAAAGAGTAAATAAGAACTTTCCTAAGGTTAGCGATAATCTATTAACAATAAGAGAAATGTGATTTTATTTTCTGTTTAACTGCCTTGGCTGGCCCTAAAGGGAAGAAAGGCAGTCTTACACAAGAGCCAATTAACAAACTAAAAATATTTATAGGTACAGCAAACATTATTTTGGAATGCTTCAAGATATTATGAGAACAGTCTAGTTGTGTGCATAATGTTCTACAAAAGTCTGTTGTAGAATCTTAGTACTACAACCTCCACAAGCTCTGAGATGAAAGACCTGCTGGTGAGAACATCTCCCTTCTATATTTACTTATTTATTAGGACACTTATAAGCCATATCATTGCACTACTTACTATCCTATATAACAATGAATAAAGAAAGCATATGATATGAACAGATTCTGCAGTATGAAGAACGACTATCTCAACTTTCACTGAAAAAGCTGAGACTACACAATACTGGCGTGCCCAGCAACCCCTTCTCTTAAAACAAAGCAGTCCAAAGTCCAACCCATTTAATTAAATTAATTTGCTGTTCTATTGGAGTTAAGAGGATGACTACAAAGATCAAACTCTGTTAGTTCCTCCAAGGCCTCATGAGCCCAAGGATGGCAAGATCTGGAGACGGCAGAACTACATACTCAAGAACTGTTCATAAAGACTTGTCAATGCAACATGAATTAAATTACAGACATGCACCACCCAACTAAAATACTGCTTTACATTTTATTTGCTTTCTTCACTGAAAACAATTTAATTTCACTTACAAGTCATTTTAGCATGTTCCTGGTTAGCTTTTATTAGCTAAATAATTACTATACAGGGCAAGCAGGAATTACTGTAAAATATGTACATACTTTCCAGTTCATAAGGATAGGGTCTGTTACGCATTAGATAAAGAGATATAATACTCACTGGCACAGGATGTCCTTCCAAAATGGAATCAATTTTCCTCAGGTTTAACAATTCTGATTCGTGGAGGAAACCTGCTTCTGCCCAGACAGCATACAAGATTGGTGCTGCATGACCCTAGGGTGAAATCACAAAAGAACAATTATTAAAAGAATGTATTAGTAAAAGAATATTTCAAAATCATCTTAGAAAAAGAAAGTGGCATGCAAAGTTGTGAAAATACCATTTAGTTGTTGAGGACAATACACTAGATACTATACAGAAAAGTGACACTGTTCCCAGGGGTCCTTCTGGAGTAAACAAGGGGGACAGTAGGCACTTACTTAACAGGAGAAGAAAGATGGGGATGGGCTGTATTCTGAATGGCTAGGGTTGCCAGCCTCCAGGTGGGACCTGGGGATCTCCCGCTTTGGCAACTGACCTCCAACTGACAGAGATCAGCTCCCCTGGAGAAAACGGTTGCTCTGAAGGGTGGACTCTATGGCATTGGACCATGCTGAGGCCCCACCCCTCCCCAAGCCCCGCCCTCTCCCAGGCCCACCCCCAAAGTCTCCAAGTATTTTCCAACCTAGATCTGGCAACCCTACGAATGGCTGACATCACTAAAACATACCAAGGGACATATGAGCATCCAGAGCAAGAGACTGTGCAGTTCTTTAAATAAAGGATCCCTTTGACCCTGCAATCTTGAACCTACACAGTCTCCTGGTGCAGTCTGTTTTCTCCACATAAGAAGCACAACATCTTGAAGTAGAAGTGGAAGTGGGGAGTATTGGCTGAACAGGCCCCAATGTTCAATAAAAAAGTACTTAGTACAGAGATTCTGAAAAGAGGGTTGCAAAGACACTCAATTTTGCATAATCTGGTATGAAAGTAACACTGAGGAAACTCACTAACAAAATCATGTTGAAGGGAAACAATTGGAAGGGAAATGATTTTAAAAAACAGAGCACTCCATTTTGAGTTAGCCTATGGTAGTACTGCATGAAAAGATCTCGCTCTTACCTTAGAAAGAACAAATCGGTCATTGTTAACATTTCTGGGGTCCTGCGGCTTATATCTCATGGTATGGAAAAACAGCACAGACATAATTTCTGCAGCACTGCAACATGATGTCGGGTGGCTGCAAGTCAAAGCACAAAGAATATTACAACTACAACCTCTTGTATCATTCCTACCAGCAAAATACTGTTGGCACCATTTTTGAGCATTCAACGAGAAAAATAACATGCCATTAGAAACGAGAATTCCTATCATCTGCCTTTATCTTAGTGTTAATTAGCTGTATAAAGCCAAGAGACCAGATGTCATATTGTCTCGTCCAAAGTAGACATTAAAACATAACTTGAAGCAATAGGACAGCCTGAGTAGCCTTCAATCCGCCCTAATATCAAGGAAAGTAATCAGAATCGGCAGCTCGTGCAGCAATGGAGTCTATGCAGCACACATCTGAAAATGCTTTTTATTCATCTCTATTTAGGGGAAAGCTTCATCTCACACAGAGGCATAAGCAGATACATTGGCCTAGACAATGCTCTTAGGCATGTTGCAAAGAAAGAAAAGACACAGGCGAGGGTTTATGTGACCTACATAATTCACAAAACTTTTAAAACAGAACATAAGACTAGAGATTAAATTTTAAATGTGTTCTTACCAAACACTTAAAAACTACAGGCAGTAAAAATGGAAAGCTAGGATAATACACTGACACAAACCTAATATCTTCATTTATATTTTTAAAAATATTGAACTATTGCTACTGAAAGGAGCCACATTTTTCCCCTTTGGACTGTAAACCAGTTAGAAAATACAAAGTGATGTTCTGTACCGCAGATGCCAGACAGTACATCCCTCAAAGAAGCAGAGAAGTGTTGGTTTCAGCTTCAAAGGGCAAATTGTTGGGGTGTTCCAGGACATGAAAGAATAAGATTTTATTTAAGCAGTAGCCATGACTGGCTTGGCACTAAATATCAAATATTTTAGTTCTTAATTCCATCCATCCTAGGCCATTTCTGCATGGGTTATCTGCTCTGAATTTAATGCTGTTGAGAAGCACTAAGTGACTAGGAAATTTTAGGAGGAATACACATGGCTGTATGCCCGTCTCTGTAAATACTACTGATAGTTTATTTGTCATATAATGACTTGCTGGGTGTGGGTGATTGGGGAAAATGAATAAAAATACTTATTGAGAAGCATTTTTGTTTGTTTTCCTGCTTCTCTGCAGTATTGTTATGCATTTGTGCAGCTCCTGGGGTTTACTCTGAAGTTCTGGGAAAGATTGCAGTAAATATAGGATGGCTGCCTGTGTGGGTGAGCAAATTCAGATGGCAGCCATTTTCCCTAACCTTATTTCTGTAGCAGTAGAAAAGAACAAGAGGCCAGTAGCACCTTAAAGACCAACAAAATACATGGCAAGGGATGAGATTTCATGAGTCACTACTTAGTTCTTCATATATCTTCCTGTGGCCTTCACAGAGCTTTCTGCTGTTTTTAATTAGCTTTAGAATATCATATTAACTTAATCTTATACCAATGTTTAAACCAGGTTCTTGGAATTCCCAGATTTTTTAAAGTAAGTCTCTAGCTCAGGGACGGCCAAACTTGCTTGACATAAGAGCCACACAGAATAAACGTCAGATATTTGAGAGCCGCAAGACGTGAACAAATATTACACATTTTTTACTGGTAAATATGCAGATTTGCTTTTTATTAACATTAAATGAGACTGCCAAAAATAATAACAGAAGCGGTAAAAGCAGATACTGATAATGATATTTATTTGTCCAATGATATTTGTTTGCTAATGCTATTTAGCTTCCCCAGCCACCCTGCTGGGAGCCACACAATATGTGTGAAAGAGCCGCATGCAGCTCCTGAGCCACAGTTTGGCCACCCCTGCTCTAGCTTCTGTTGCAAAGATATAAGAGGAAATTTATAACTCTGCAAGGGAAGGGAATTGAAACTTACTTATTTTTTTAAAACAAATGAAAGCTGGAAATTCAGATAACCTGGTACACACAGAGATATAGCATTACACTGATATAATTATACTCTGGGGGCATTTTTTTTAATTGCAAAAGCCCCAGCAGCCCAGGAAAGAGGGTGGCCGCTGCTGGGAGACCGCAGCAGGGAAACATGCCATGTAGAAGCCCTGCTGCTGCAGAAACTGCACCAGCAACAGGGCAAGCATGCAAGCCTACACCTGTGTGGAAATCACCATTATATGCTATTACAACAAGGGACACACCATTTGTTGTTTCTTTCTCACAGAAACTAGGGTTCAATCTAACACCAAAGGGGTTTTATATATACTTACCTGCCAGCATTAAGAACAGGAATGAATACAGGCCTTCAAATCATGGTCTGAAACACTCCCCCCCCCCAATTTATTTTATAGCATCCAGCCTATGGAAGAGCTCTGGAGAACCCAAAAGCTTACACACTGGTCTGTATGATTCTGTTTGGTATTATCAAAAGGTAAAATATCTCTAACCAGTCCCAACCATTGGGATAAACTTGTTGAGCAATGGCTTCAGCTCCTCAATCTTTCCTTGGATTCCATTCAGTTACCAGAAAAGAAGCTATGAGAATGATTAAGAAACATTTATTTAAGTATGATTATCTTTAGAGCACAACATGTTTGTTCTACTCATTCTGCTGGAATTTTACCTGGAGAGTGTCTCGATTACTGTTCATATTTGACTGCTAAGATCCTCAGTATAGGTGTGCTTTTATACTGGCATGCCTTAATGCCTTACCATTTAGAGTTTTGCAAGGGAGTTATCTTAAGATACCATTCTCTGATAAGAGTTGGCAACTGTGGTGCAGGTAGTGTAGAACTCTGTATCATATGCTTTTTAAATGTAATTACTTCTCTGAGCCTAGAGATCTTTTAATTCTTCCTTCACTCCAAAATATATATCATATGGAGACATTCCCTATTTTATCAGAAGAGAATAGCAGGCCTTTCACTCTTTTAGCTGTGAAATTGTATGCGCTTGTGATAGATTTTTATAGCAGTTCAAATGTGGTCTAGCTTTTCTATTTTAGTAATCTGATTAAAACTAATGTTAAGAAGCAGTATGAGGTAGAGAGCTGAGTAGGGGTATTATTTGGATTGAGTGGCCAAAGATGGGGCACTCTCCCAGAGTCTCTTTCTAGAGCTCGTTGTATTTATTTCCACAACAGTCCTTATTCCTAGTATTTAATATCTCCTTTAAACTCTCACCACCTTGAACTTTCAGCCTCTACATTTCAAGGAATGTAGTAATGTGGCTAACCTGATGTTATTTCAATGGAACAAAGATAGATCAGACAGTTGAAATAGTTTATATTATGAACCAGCTGCTTTAACAAAATATTTAACAGCCAGAATCCCTGCTTATAGAGTACGCTGGCTTGAATATGTCACAGGGCCCAATTCTTTCCCATTTTTCTAATTCCTATATTTCTCATGCAGGTCAGCACTTTAAAACAAATAATGTGAAATCTATGCAACATCAGTGGAATTCATGTCTACATAATACATTTCTGAAGAATGTACCATGTAAATATCACTTCTCATTCCAAATACAAATCCTTTGAAAACAGTACTTTTGTTAACACTCTCTTAAAATACATGCAACACATGATGTAAAGGATTAGTGTTCATCCCTTAGTAAGTACTTGCACTTTAAGAATTAAAATAATTAGGTTTAAATCATGACTCACACTTGTATTAGTAAATATTTACACATCTCAGTTAATCAGTAAGCCTTACATGCTTGCTTAAGGCTTTCATTTGTTAAATCTTAGAAATTTTATACTTAACCATCTTGCTAAAGAACTGCTTCTCTGGGGGAAAAGACATACAAATACCTATTGATGAACATATAGAAAATTAAAAAAATTAAAAAGAATAAAGCAACATTTGAAGAGACACAAAATGAAAAACCATTTTACAGCAAAATGGAACAAGAGAAGTGGTAGTCAGCTTTTTGTTGCTTAGCATACATAATTTTGTTTTGTACACAGCAGGAGACTTCCAAATGTTGTTAATATTTTAAACAAAAGGACAATAGACTGCTAGGTTTAAGTTATATTAACTCAAAAAACAAAGTTATTCTGCAATTTGGTATAATACAATACTAGAAATTGGGCTACTTTATGTAGGAAAATCAGTACTGTGCTCTGAATAGCAGCCAAGATTACCAGGCAGTATGTTCACTTGGCTTCAGAGGGTAGGCTTTTCTCAATTACAATCAGATTACAAATTACTGAGCACTGTAAAACGCTAAATGTGGCTGTCATACCATATTCACTGATTTCATTGGGACTTGTATGGAAGTCTTTAGTAAAGTTTTCAAAAGAATGGTGGTATTGAAGCAGCAAGGCTTAGCACAGCATATCTGCTAAAGTTCAGGCTCCTTTCACTAAAATTTAGCGCATTATATTTGCATTTCTATTAACCTAAGGATTCAGTAGTTTTGGTCACTGGCAATATGATTCCTATGCATCTCTTTCCTATGCATTTGCAAATGGCATCACTAAGGAAAGAATTCCATGCCAGCAAAATAAAGACTAAAGCCCTTCTTGCAGCTTATTGTCAAAGAAAAGTATTCCTCCAAAGCCACAGCAGTCAGTTAGTCTTTCCCCTTTTGAAAATCAAATCTCTCTTCTTCTAATAGTCAAATTCTATTAGTTCTAGTCAAACTGTTTGCATTAGCACAGCAGCCCTTTTACCCACCCAACGCAAACAGAGCTGGGCTATAAAGATGCCAGCTCAGCGTGTACAGATGACTGAGTAAAAAGGCACCAGGTGTAGGGGAAATAACTATGCAAAGGCAAAAATGGCCAAACGGAATGGAAGATAATTACTCCCAGTCATGCCACATGGCTCTCCTGAAAGCATACAATAACTAAAGTCAGCTTCATTACTGTGAAGAGACATTTGCAAATTACTACATCACAGTCTAAAGTGACCATAACATGAGAGTGATTGATTCTAGGCACTGCCAAACAAACAAAACTGATGATGGGCTACCTGATGCACTACCTTCAGGGATCTGGGTGAGGAAAAATCAGGGCTATACCACAGAGACTGGTGTGTGGAACTGCTAGGAGGCCACAGCCCTTAACTGC